TTTCTTCTAACTCAAAGCATAATTCAACCTAAACCATGACCTAAACTATGCAACCTATAACTTCAAATTCTTCCAACAGTTAGTTAACAGCCAAATTACCTAAATAAAATTTCACAGCATCAACTTGACTGCGTAAATTAATTACCTCTTCCAGTTGAAATTGCACATAAAGATATCAAAATTGCCACTACTAACCCCCATTTGCAAGCCATCCTCTGCACAAAACAATAACAAAAGAATAAAAAAGAAAGACAAGATATCAATAGTAAAATTTATCAAACAAAAACCATTCAAATAATCTCTCAAACACAAAAAAAAAAAAGAAAGAAAAGAAGGAGAGAATCTTTTACTTGTTTGAAACTGGACAATATTAAAAAATAAAGATCCATAAGCACTAAAATTAGGGCAAATTCTGCAGTAAAAATTTCTTAATTCAGAAAAATAAAATAAAATAAACACATAAACAGCTCTGCAGGATGTAGCTCAAAAGACCTCAAATTTCCCATTCATTTCACTTTCTGGAAGTAAACACAGCAACCAAACAGCCATAAAACTCCTAATAAACTTCAACTATCTATATATCTCCTAAAAAACCCATTGCATCACATATATAAAGAAAATGCACCAAAATGCAGCAAACACTCCCCAAGCAGATCAAACTTTCCAGACAACAATCTGCACAAGAAAAAAAAAGAATAAATAAATAAATAAAAGTAACACAAAATCCAAACTAAAAGCCAAAGGAATAAAATATCCAACCAACCAGAGGCAACCAGCAGTAAACCGTAAAATCAAAACAAAAATTGGTAAAACAAACTCCAACCAAGACACACATACTCCACAAAGCAAACTCTACAGCTGTACTAATGAACAATCAATTAACCAAAAATAAAAATTAACAAAATAACCAAGAGACAAATTAACCATTCAACTACCTCCTCTTCGTCGTCCAGCTCACCACCACCGTGGTTAGCGGCAGCATTATTTTCTTCTTCGTCGGAATAGTCGGCAGTTCTCTCAACGGCTTCGAGCTCCTCCGCGTCTTCTTCCCCAACTTGGTCATTAACATTAACTCCTCGCTCCACTTCCTCTTCCTCCGACGAATTTGACACCGGCTCCTTCTCCTCCAATGATCGGGATGACTCCTTCGTCGCCCGAGGACCGCCAGCCATTGGACATCAAGGGTTTTCTCTCTTCTTTGCTTTTTTTTCTCGATTTCTTTCGCCGAAGCAAAAATGTAGAAGGAAAGTACTCAAAACGTCGCTCATACTTGTCAAATAAATTTTTCATTTTAACATGTTTACGTTCCTTATAAAATAAAATTTGATTTTAATTCTAAATTTTTAATATTAACTTAAATTTTTAATAATTTTTATTTTAAATCTATACGTTATTTTTTTTTTTAGAAAAAAAATTCGAAACGTCCTTCACATTTTATAAAATAATTTTTTTCATTCCTCACTTTTAAAAATATAATTTTACGTCCCTTATAAATTTATATTGGTCAAATTTGGTCTTTATTTAAATTTTCAACTAATTTTTAACAGGAATCCACCACGTACATTGCAAGTGATCATTTTTCAGAGGCAAAATTGTCAAATCATATTTCTAAGAATCCGATTTATGGTCCCTTACATTTCACAAAATGAATTTTTTCATCCTTCACATTTCACAAAATAAATTTTTTCATTCATCGCATTTTACAAAATGAATTTTTTCATCCCTCATTGAATCTTTTTTGTTTTTCTTGAGATCTAATAACTATTAACTAAATAAAAAATAAATACAACAATCTCAAAAAATAATATATAATAGAAAATTATAAAATTCATAAAAAATCTCATTTTTTATGCATTTTGATTTTTTGAGTTTGTTAAATTTTGTGTATTATCCAGTTAATAATTATTAGATCTAAAATATAATGTTTATGAGAAAAAATAACAATACAATAAAAAGTGGGAAAAATCGTCCAAAATGTCCATCACATTTTATAAAATAACTTTTTTCGTCCCTCACTTTTAAAAGTGTAATTTTATTTCCCTTACATATTCACATCGGTCAAATTTAGTCCCTAACTAGGTTTTCGATCATTTTTTGGCGGGTTTCCATCATGTGCAAGGCACGTGATCATTTTTGAAGGGTGAATTTGTCAAATTATATTTTACATAATCTGATCTATGAAGGGTGAATTTGTCAAATTATATTTTACATAATCTGATCTATAATCTTCCATATTTTATAGAATAAATTTTTTCGTCCCTCACATTTTATAAAATAATTTTTTTCATCCCTCACATTTCACAAAATGAATTTCTCCATCCCTCACATTTCAAAAAATGAATTTTTCATTTCTCACTAATTATGTGTGTGAATACATTTTTTTTTTAAACACATGTATGTGTCTATTTGATTTTGCTTAATAATAATAGTATAAACACATGTATGTAATTAGGCCCAACTTGTGGGCTATCTTTTCTTTTTGTATGATTATGACTAATATTTTCCAATAGAATCTTAATTTGCATATTCTTATTATATTTTGACCAAAAATAGCTTTATTGACCAACTTGACAATAAATGCAAGATTTTTTACTAGCTAATACCAGATGAAATCAAATGATCACGTATAATATATGGTATTCATATTGTTAAGTGAAATCAAATAGAAACGTACATATATTTATGCTATTCGTATTATTAAGCAAAATCAAATAGACATATACATGTGTTTAAACAAAATGTATTCAAACACATTTTTTTTTTTTAGGATTTCCCTCACACACATAATTAGTGAGGGATGGAAATATTCATTTTTTGAAATGTGAGGGATGGAGAAATTCATTTTGTGAAATGTGAGTGATGAAAAAATCATTTTATAAAATGTGAGGGACGAAAAAATTTATTTTATAAAATGTGGAGGACTGTAGATTAGATTATGTAAAATATAATTTGACCAATTTACCCTTAAAAAATGATCACGTGCCTTGCACGTGATGGATTCCGGCCAAAAAATGATCGGAAACCTAGTTAGGGACTAAATTTGACCGATGTGAATATGTAAGAGACATAAAATTACACTTTTAAATGTGAGAGACGAAAAAAGTCATTTTACAAAATGTGAGGGATGTTTTGAATGATTTTCCCTAAAAAGTGAGACGGAAAGTGATATAGAGAGTAAGATAGAAGATCCGTTGCATTCTTTTTGTCGGCAATTTTTTTTTTTTTTTTTACTTGTCTAGGTTGACAACTGTTGGGATGGTTGTTTTATTTAAGCATTTTAAAACACTTACTACATATGAGATACAAAAGAAATTGGGAGAAAATTTTTCCAAAATAAATATTGACTAGTTATTAATACTAATTTAATAATTTGTGGGACGAGAAAAAAAATTCACTCTTGACATACTCTATTGCAAGTAAGGTACAATACAATGAATCTCAATAAATTAAAATGAAAAAAAAGGAGCCAACACTCGTTGCTCCTCCTAAATAAGGTCTTGGATTATAGAAAGGTAGACGTTAAGGTCTAAATTATCTCGACTCCAAATTAACTCTGCCTTGCGTAAATTCATTATGCTTATCGACACATGAAAGGCGCCAAGCTAAAAAATGTCTTTCATAGGATTGATTGGTTTATATGCGTTACAAGCTAGTTATCTGCATGCTTAAGATAAAGAATGCTTCTATTCTTCTATCTCACTAATTTCTGTGATCTTATGAAACCTTTCTCAGACAAGATTGGCGTTTTTCGCTCAACAAAATATACAAGTTCCTGTTCTGTTAGACAATATCTTGCCTTGATGGTAGTTATATTACAGGAGTAAATGATAGACAACTCTTTTGTTAGGCCATCTAGACACCCAACAAGAAGTGCTGTCAATTTCTTTGTCCCTTCATCTTTAGAAAGGAGGTTAACTGATCCACATAGTCACGGAATGATGTTTTTCCTGTGGAACAATGCTTTGGTGTTCATACAAGTTAGTAACTATTCATCCACTCCTCTTCCTTGCAGGTTTTGAAATGTGCCACAGCAGGCATGATCATTGCACATTTTTTCACCATCACAAGTCAGTTTAATTTGTAAAAATGGGTTACTTCTTCGCAAAAACTGTGCGTTCGAATTCCACTGCCGATGTAACAACTGGGTTGGTGGACGATTTGTAAAAACTCTTATAAGCGACCTATGGTTCCAAGAACATGTCTTGACCCATGATAGTGATCAGAGCCTAATCCACCCAAATTTTTCTTTACCAAACAAAAGAACAAAAAAACTGCACATTTTTTCAAACACTGGAGTAACAGTCTACCAGAGACACCATCGTTAAGAAGAACGCAAATGCCATTTTAGAGATGCTAATATTTGTCTTGTTGAGTTTTCCTGTCTATCTTTGTCTACAGATTCATTTTTCAGCATCTCTGAATTTCAGGTATTGGAACAAGTACAGCACCATAGCCTTCTTTGTGGCCTATACCACTACTTGTATGGATATTAATCCCATTTTGAAGCATTACAGGGTGTTCTTCTTATTTTTGTCAAGGTTCTGGAAGCTTATTTGAACGAAAAGCTTATATTAAGCCCGAGCACCTGAAGATTAGAGTTGTGAAAGACGATGAAGAAGAGACTGATCTTCTAAAGTTCTAATTTGGTTTGCTTTGTAGCTTTATTATCATATATGCTTCCTGTTTGTTTGCAAATTTCTTGCATAAAAATTTTCTTGTAGAATGGGCTTTGTACAATTGAGGCACTGAATCTATCTTAAGAAATTGGACATGTTTCCCAAATTCTTGGACAAACTTCTTCTATTCCTAGTGATATATGTTGCACGCTCGGGTTCAATTTGGACATGTTTTACGAGAGGTATGAAGACAGAGCAATATCAGTCACATAACTGAAACATCGTATAATTGAAAACAGCAGACCCTTCAAGGAGAAACCACAGGGCTAGCATCACTATAGTAACAAATAAGCAATATGTGAGAAAACCAGTGACAAGAAAGAAGAATATAAGCCCTTCAAGGACCTTAGCACATGAAAATTTGGACATAATAACATACCCTAAAAAGGGCAGATTTAGGTACAGATATTGTAAGAATTAATCCAGTAAACAGTCCAGTATGTATGCCTGTTTACTTCTGTATGCCCTAAAGATCTACACATATTTACTTCTGCATGTCTTATTATCGTATCACTGATCTTCAGAAACTTGCACAAGGAACATACATACTCGATCAATTGCAGCAGGTATGGCAGTCAAATAACTGTAATTTTACATTTTAACCTATACTTTAAAAAAAAAAAAAAAAAAAGCCAATACCAGCTAAGCTATGTACAGGTCTATATAACTTTACTGGTATATTGAATATCAAAAAAATCAGCTCACTCACTCAACTCAGGGAAACTTAACTCTGGAAAGTACAAAGTAAGAAAATTCACTTCCGTTTGAAGCTGAATATATTCTGCTCCTTTTCAACATATTCTTTCAACCTGCTATGATCCATGCATGTCCTTAAGCACCATGACCAATATTTGGTTGTTCCCCTACACATAGGTGATATACTGTTGCAGCAAAAGCTAGTCGATGAAGACTACCAAAAAGACTTCTGAGCAGCATGTTTGATCATCCATCCAAATTTAATATCCCAATCACCAGCCTGCCTAAACAACAAGCATTTCCTTTGCACAGCTTCCCAAATTTGTGCTGAATAGGGACACAGGAAAAACAGATCATTTATAGTTCCCTACTTGCTCATGCACACATACAGATTGGATTAATCTCCATAACCCCTGAATGCAGTCTATCCTTGGTGGTCAATCTTTCCCCGCAAGCAAACCACAATATAAAGGAGAACCACTAGTATTGTGTTTTCTGCCTCGCACTACATGATACCAAGAAACTTTAGAAGCAAGAACCAGGAACAACTATGTGCTTTATAGTTAAATTAGCAGAGTAGATACCTGTGGGGTCCAAAGTCCATGTAACAGAATCATTTGAACCAGGAAGAGGTAAAAAAAATAAGAGGTGGTAGCTTCAATTAATTGTAACAATTATGTACCCTTCTTCTCCCACTTGGCCATTCGCACATTTCATCTCTAATGATAACGGACATTTTTCCAGTCTTAGAACTCAAAAGGAACAGCAACTGAGAAGAGATTTTCTCTCTAAGCAATCCTAAAGGAGGCCATCAAACATTTCCACGGCTGCCCATTAATAATGATCAATTTCTAGAGCTTCTAGTTATCGGCCTAAACTCAACTTCAAGAATTTCTTCCAACACCACGATCTGGTTTAAGTTGGGTAGCGCAAAAACTTTCTACCTTCAAGAAAAATGATGAGTTATAAGCAAGTTTCCTGTGTCAAGACAGTCTAATCCTGTGCATGTGTTTCACATCTTGGTTCTACAAGTTACACTGTGAAAACAGATCAAAGTCCAGCAGACACATGCATGGTAAGACAATGAGCTGCATAACCTTGTTCTCCAAAAGAAAATGCACTGGCACACTATACACAAGTGCAATCCAGGCTTATATAAGCTCATATTTTACAAAACTAAAAGAAAAACATGAAGATAAGGCACAGCGAAAACTACAGAAATAGCAGTGTTTGATGCCTTGATATAGCTGAATCTTATTAGCTCCTAGTGCTGCACTGCAGTTTGTCTTAACAGCTGATACTATTATCTTTAGCACCATGTAGACAGATGTCAAACATAGTGGTCCACAACATAATCCATCAAATCTCTGTGCTAGACAGAGAGAATAGACAGAAAGCAAATGACATTAAGCAGTATATACAAATTCAGGAGAGGTACTTGTGCTATAAACTTCGAAATGTTTACGTGGTTGCAGGGGCACATTCCTACTTATTTTGCATCATAAGTCAACATTCTTTTATAAGTTGCTGCAACCACTACATTGAGATGCCTGAGTAGTAGCAAATAGTTTACGTGTATGTTGATACAAATGTACACTACATTGAACATATATCTTGTGAAATGGGACACCTATAGGATATGAAAGTAGTCCAACCTTATCTACTAACTGGCAAAGGACCTTAAGAAATATATGAAGGATGCGAAGGGAACACACCTAATGCAGTAATGTATCACTTAACAACTACAAATGCGCTTCTTTAGGAAAAATAGCATATATGTCTTAGGATTAGGAATAACTTGAGGGATAATACTACAAGAAATAGCTGCCAAAAAAAAAGATAAAAGGAAATTAAAGCAAAGAAAACAGTAAAAATCTTAGAGATACAAAGTGATGGTATGACTAAAAATTTTGGAAATCAACTTACATGAGGATTCAGGGCTTGTGAATCTAATTATGAAGCGGGTCTAAAACAGCTAGAACTTGGAAATGACACCTGAAACATAATGATGACATAATACACAGAGTAAACGCCTAAAATAAAACTCCATTACCTTGTGCAATACAAACCAGGGAAAATCTTGGACAGCAAGTGCAAATATGACTACCCACTCCCCACAAAAAGAATTAAAAAAGGCACTCGCAAGTCCCACCCCCATACCTCCTGTGCGTCTGCTACATTAGACAATGATACACTGGGACTACCCTCTTCTCTCGCATCTCTCTTCCAAATCACAGTCCTAGATTCAAACTTGTCAAAGAAAGCATCAGTAATCTTTAATTCCTTTATATAAGACATCTCCCAATTCCAGTCAATTCAACATATTCAAAGATCACATATTGCCAACTCATCTTGTGAACATAAAATCACTGTAAAATGGAAAAAATATGGACGGAAAGAGATATAGGATTTCAACTATTCTCATCCTATCACAACTCGTAAGCACATGCAGAATATGCATTCAACAGACCTTTGAAAGTCTGTCAGACAACTGTGCCAAAAATCAAGGTGATAATAACATTTTAAGAACAACATATGTCATTTTCAGCCGATTCCTAATTCCAATTTTGTAATTTTCCAAAAGAGTAGACCTCATCCATCAAGAAGGCGATACCTAAACCTACAGCTTTTGTCATCACTAATCCAGAAGCAATATGTACAAGCATACAAGAAAAAATTCTTGATCTTCATCTTACATCATCAAGCTCTCCGACTCCGAGCAAGCAAACGCTGAATCTGAGAAATTCAAAAAACCGAGGAATAACCAAGCCTTACAATCAGGCCAAAAAGGATAAGCAATCAAGTAAAATAGGAAAACAAAACCATAGTGCTACACTTACAGCAGCTACAAAAGCAGCTAAAGCGGAGATTAAAGCCGTAATTGGGTTGTCTAGAAGAGCAATTGCCAATATGCCCAAAACAACAGCTCGAAACCAATTCCAAACCAGCCAAAAGAAGATCTACTTGTTCACAACGCAAATGCCCTGAAATTTATATTATTTTATTTTTTTTAAAAAAAGACATATTTCTTCATAGATACTACCATATTAGTAAGGATTAATCCACTGCATAATGCTTGACAGCGACGCGTAATCTCCATTCCAATTTGAAATTCTCTGTTTGTGCGTGTGGCGGTAGCATGTATCTACACCTACAGTTTTAGTTTAAGGGAATTAGGCATCATGGAGAAATTGTATGTTCTGACTTCTGAATTTTGGTTAGTTAAAAAAATTAGGGTTAATTTTAAGTTGAGCTCTTCAATTATATCCAAATTCGTAAACTTCAAAATGGGATATTATAGTTCCTTTTTTTTTAATTTAAAGGGGAGGGGTGTAAAATATAAAATTTGTCCCACTTAAATATTTCAAAAAGAAAGTAAAATTTTTAGAAGAAGTGGGATAGCTTTTTATACTTAAATGGGACATATTTTATAATTTAGGAACTAAAATGGAATAAATTGGATACTTTAAGGATTTTTTTTTTTCCAAACGGTAACATGATATTAATCATAAGACAATACAAGATCAGAGCAACTGCTCCTGTAAATCTGCTTGAACTAACTCTAGCAGCCATGCTGGGAAGTTATTTTTCTATTCAGCTAAATCTATCAAAATTATAGCAAATGATTTAGCAATTTTATAGCAAATTTTGCTAAGTGATGACTTACAGAGTTGTTGCTCATTCTAGTGTAGGAGAAACAACGGTTGTGTATGGACATATGGTATTTGGTTTTTTATATTTTAGAACAGTAAATTCAAATTATTTTGCAACTTTCCTTGACCGAATAATTCAGGAAACTTTTTCAGTCCAAAACAGTAAATCACTTGCGTATTATTCAGACCGTTGTCTTTTGTCAGGAGAAGCCGACAAATTAGCCTCTAGTCTTTCTCTTCTTCTTTACTCCCCCTCTTCATCATCCCCAACCTCTTACTGACATATCATTTATCTCAGCCGTGGGTTTTGAAATTAGAATGCCAAGGAGGTAACCAGCAACTTGTCTCTTCATGATGCACTAACAAGAAGAACGGATCCGAAGTAGTTGTCAAATTTGGCTTCAATTAAGCTTCAGTGGCGACACCAGCGGCTGAGATATTTTTCCGGCGCCGTCCATCTATGAATCTAACTGGACTTTTGATTATGTGCGTGGTTTCCAACCTTTAAGCCTCAAGGTATGTTTCCCCAGTCTTGCGAATCAAGATGGGATTTTTTCTTCCAATTTTCTCCTAATCCATTCCAGTTTGTTATTATGTTAAGTAGTGAATGGGTATGTGCAGTGCCTGAGTTTTTTTTTTTGTATTGTAATTAGGGTTCGGTAGCTCCTACAAAATTAGATTCCCTGTAGAATCTGCAATTTGTTTCAACATGAATATGCAGCAGTATTTGATTCTTCGATTTCCTTCACAGCGACGGCCTGCTCTTAACAAAACAATTGTATCAAGCTCCTGTGTTTAATTATAGAATTTCTAGTATCACGAACAAAGTGTTGTTTTTTATTTTCTTGAGAATTAATGCGTAAAAAAATGGAAGAATTTTCCTTCAAGAAGTTCCCTGCCTGGCTTGCAACGCATTGGGCTTCCTAGAACTGTGGTATGAGATGTAATTCAAACTACAACTTCTGAAATGAGAAGTATCCATAATCAGGATTTTTTCCCCCAATTTAATCTCTGTACCTGAAAGCTATCGCTATGCTAGCTTTCTTTCTCCTTTTACTGCCCCAGATATATTTTTTGCCTCCCACTCCCCAAATCCTCTCTGAACCCCAATCTACTAGGCAAGGCCTCGAACTTCAGATCTTGCAAACAGGGAGAACCTTTAAATGCCTCCTCCTAGTCAAGGCCATTGAAGAAGAGCGGGGGCTTGGCTATTGTCATAGGTTATGAATTATTAAGAGTACAATTTCTTATAATGGCAGGCTTATGCTCATCTTGATAGTTTAAAGTGGTTATTTTCAATGCCGATACTTTCATATCATTTGAAATACCAATTCACCTATGAGTGAACTTTTCTTTTCTTGATCTGAATAGATGTTTTTATGGTTAAAGGTCCTTTTCACCATAATACTAGAAGAAAATGTTCATTGTATTTGGTGTTGTTTCCATGTCCATTTTATTTTTCCTATATCCAAATTTGGTTTAGCTGCAAAATGAACTAGTTAACCTTTTGTCCGAGCATCAGCAATTGTGCATTGGTCGAGATGAATTTTACTTCACTCAAATTATATGTATTCTTCTAGCAAGTGTTGCCTTAGCTATTCAAGATTTAAAAATTGACCAGGCTAATCCACATACCTGCATTTTGGATCCTAAGTTGCTTGATTAATACTTACACATGTAGTTCCCGACAATGTAGAGTCTAAAACGTCTCTGTCCAATTAAAGGCATCATAATAGGTTTGCTGGTTGGTTAAAGGTTTTACTATCAGCCATTCGTCACTAACATCTCTTTTTTGCTGCCCTTTTTGTCTTTAAAGCAGCCAGTTGGTGCGTGACTGTTAGGTCCGCCATTTTTTGTCGCTGCCACGTTTATATGCCACATAAACGCCGTCGAGTATGTAAGAGCAGCGGTACGACCTTCGTCCATATATGATTTTGGTTTTGGTTGCTATTATTTTCAATTTCTATACATTCGTTAATGATCTCATAATCTGTTCAGCTAAAAATTCTTAGCTTGGGATTGCTATACTGCTTTGAATGCCTATTTGTGTTTATTTGTTAAACCAAATAAGGAAGCATTTTTTATATTTTTCTTTCATGCAGTCCAACAAGCACATTCCGAGAGCGGTTCAAACGATTTGGGTGCTTGCGCGAGAAATTACTTCGTAAAGGTATGGAAGTAGTTCCTACTTTGAAGTTCCAGCACTCACTTTGAATTTTCTGTTTCCTTGTGCAATCTAAATGTTATTTACTATGAACTTTTTTGGTTTATTGCATTAGATGAATGATGATTCTGAAGTAGCCGATTGGAAAAATCACCCTACACTTGAGGCAGTTTTCGTTGCAACACTTGTGGAGTGGCATAGGAATGGTGCTTGGGACAAGCACCAAAAGGGCAGGTCAAACTGGCACCATCTTACCCTACACATGAACGACAAGTGCCACGTCAATTTGAGGTGGGAGCAATATCGTTCAAAGTTCTATAGGATGGAATCCGAGTGGAAGTGTTTCGTCCGCTTATCGGGGATGTCCCAGACAACGGCAGAGACGGGAGTTGGCTTTAATTCGGAGCTCCTCTGCTTTCAGGCTACAAAGGAAAAATGGAGCGCTCTAAAGCGGGTAAAATTCTTCTATGTCTCTATTAATTGTATCCCAAATTGCCCTTAACCTTTGATAGATATATTTCCCTGTGTGTTTGGTGAGAGACAATGGAATATTGAGCCCTTTCATTGATAGAGGATCCCTGAAATTATGACTTATGTAGCAGTTGCTGTGACAAGTTTTATGTGTTTCACTTTTGCTGCACTGGGTTGGGAAGCATAGATGGGTACTTTGATTTTATACTTGCTATGTTTGGAGGCTGCCTTATTAATCATTGATTGCGACTGCCCCTAAATGTGACAGTGGAGGAGGGGAGAAATTCCTATGTATCAATTAGGTTGTTACAATAATAATTTAAGGTGGCCGTATTATGCTTGATTGGTGGCCTACATTTCTAGCCTACATTTCTTTAATATGCTAAATCACATTTTTGTCTCCAACGAGCACTGCTAATTTAACTGTTAGCTTGGAGCTGTTTACTTAAAGAAAGCTTAGTTGACTGCATCAGATTAATGAATAGAAGATTTTAATCTAATTCATTATACACATGTAAAGATTAAGCACTATAATTACTATCTAATAGATAATCAGAAAAAATTTGATTCTTAAAAAGTTCCTTTATTAACTAGTATATCTTTTTGGCTAAAACACTCGCATTAATTAGGACTATAATTTTGTATATTCCTAAATATGAACTCTGACTAATTGTGGAGGGGCTGTTGCTACCTAGGATAAAAAGTACCATTGCTGTTGCTTAAACAAAACTTAAAAAGGGGTAAGATTGAGTAGTTTGTATGTACATTGTGAGTAAGCCAATATGGCCTGTCTCATATGTAAGGAGAGAAAAGAGGTTTATATCTTTTTTTTTGGTATATCTGGCTGCTTTATGGCCCGAAAGAGTTTGTCTTTTTTCTGGCTTTTCTGACTTTTGGACCTTTCTAACGTTTCATAGGGTATTTCTGTTGAGTACATTGATTACTATGTTAAGAATTCATGGTTTTGACAGCTTTGGTGCTGTGACTGGTAGTATTCAATCTGTTACACATACTGGCCTATATTTCTTTCGTTACTGGCCTTATCATGGCTGATTGCTGGCCTGATCATGTGTATAATAGCTATTTGAAGTACCAGCTTAGTAGTACACAGCAAGAATGCTTTTTATATAAACTGTATCAGCTTGTCTAGTTGAACCAGTTGCCATTTCACATACCTTGCAGGAAAACAAATTTTATGCACGGTTCAAAGAAGGCCGCAGCTGCGATTGCTTCTATGAATTGGGAGAAATTCTTGAGAGCCGAACAGCCACCGGAAAGCATGCCCAATCCTCTGCTCAGAGTGACGTCCACCACTCTCCTTGGTCTGCCGAAAAGACCACCGGGGCTGCATCAAGGCGAAAGGGGAAGGCAAAGGTTGACGGACCGACCTCAGACTTCTGGGGGGAGGATGTGTATATTCCAGTTCGGGATGAAGAAGTTGAATTTGTTGCTAGTAGGCCAGGTAAGCGCCCGGTATCGAGTCGTGGGACATCATCTTTCGATGGATCAAGGAGCACTAAGTCTTAGAAGACCGGGGAAGCTCTCCGAGACGCAGCAACGAACATTGGTAAGCTGTCTCAGATCAAAATTGATGAAAACACCCGACGAAATGAGTGGTGCGTAGCTGCGCTAAGAGTTTGGGACAAATCATACCCAAAACATGAGCCCGTTGAACTGTGGTCCCAAAAGCGTCTTGCGTGCATGAAAGAGTTTAAAAATAGTGAGAGGTGGCGCCACATGTTTCTGCAGTCGGATGAAGGTTTCCAGTATTGGTATGCTGATACCATTCTTGATCCGAAATAGCTGCTGCATAGGCAGCTTTAGACTGAATTTCCTTGCTTGATATTTCAGTAAATTTGGCTGGGTTATATAACTGTGTCCTGGAGGACAAATTTTGGATTGCTATTGTGCACAAAAAAAAAATCTCAGTCTTGCGGATAGTACATGTAATTTGCTTCCATTTGACATAAACTTGCACTATGTCTGTATTTGAGACTTTGCATCCTGCGGCTGTATGAACATTCTGCTATTGATGTACTATCTTTTTATAGTTCAATGCTTATTACTACTCCCATTACACTGATTTGCTAGTGAGTGGGGTATTTTCTTCATTTATATGGTTACTTGGATAATATTAATCCAATTATATTAGCTATATACTGTATTAGAGTGTTTTCTTTACATAGGGAGGCTAGAATGTGCTATTATATATGACAAGCATGGACCACTGACACCCACACAAGACATCTGATATTTTTTCCAGTAGCAAAAGTTATGACTACTATTTTCATTGGGAAATAACACATGCTAGCCTACGTCGGTACCTCCTGGCTAAGGTGTGCATATGACTACTAGTATGCTAGATTCTTTTTCTTTTTTGATTGTGGGTTATATAGTGGCTACTTTGGCCGCTAGCTACTTTGTAGGAATTGCACATGGGTATTTGGACGTTTCCAAGATATCCGTATATAGTGGCTACTTTGGCCGCTAGCTACTTTGTAGGAATTGCACATGGGTATTTGGACGTTTCCGGGATATCCGGGATACTGTCCTTCCTATATTCAATGGCCCTTTAAGTTCTTATCACTACTGTTTTCGCGTGCTTATTTGTCCGAGCATCAGTGATCTATCAATCAGAAACAGGTGCCGACACGCAATCCACTATTTGGTTGCAGCTTTATTTATGTAACCAGTCGTGACCATTCAAAGTATGTCAACATGTCTATGTCGGTAGGTGAAATTGGTTGGGTTCCCCGAGACCACTATCAGTATTTCTATAAAGCCATAAGTTTATAGCAGTGTGTACATGAATCCCATATCCAGCTACTAACATCAGAAATCCAGCAGCGTGGTAGCCATAAGAATTCCTGGTTCTTCGATAGCCAACCAGGCTCCCGAAACAGGCTCTTGCCATAGCCTAGTACAGGTGATGAATTTCTATTCATAAATATCTGTCATATTGCTAATTTTTCTATCCAGTATATATATATATATGTGTGTGTGTGAATATATATATATATATATAGTGTTCATGCAACCAAATTAGCTAAGGAGTCGAGTTACAAACTCCAGGCAAACCATATATATTGCCAGCGGTATATTAGCTACGGTATATTACTATAAAAATTACTTTTGTTTTTTCTTGGTATTACAAAGTATTGGCTAAGGTGTATATTCTCTTAGGTAAGGTATATTAGCTAAGCTATTAAAAATATTAGCCAACATATATTACTAAAAAATTTAGGCTTTTGGTTAGGTTTATTGTTAAAAAATGATTAGTTTAGGTATATAAGCTCACAGTGATTTACTATAAAAATTACTTTTGGATATTATTACTATTAAAATTTATTAGTTAAGGTATATTAGCTACGATTTATTACTATAAAAATTACTTTTCTATATTTTGTACTGTTAAAAATATTAGCTAAGGCCTTATTAGCTAAGGTATATTAGTATAAAAATTACTTTTCATTGAGTGAGTATTAAAAAATATTAGACAAGGTATATTAGCTACGGTATATTACCTTAGCTATTAAAAATATTAGCTAAGGTATATTACTATACAAATTGTTGGATATTTTGTACTGTTAAAAAATATTAGCTACGGTTTATTACTAAAAATTACTTTTGGTTATTTTTACTATTAACAAAGACAAATTATATATCACCTGCAAAAGAGGATAAAACTTTTCAAAGCATGCCTTCACAACCTCCGGACCAACAATACCACCAACCATGACAGCCATGGGATTTACAACAGCTCGAGCACCAAGAGGCAGTTCATGCAAAAGTTTTGGGTTGATATCTTCTACTTTACAATCCCCTAGTGCTTCATTTAAGTCTCTGGCAATTGATATAAGTATATTAGCATCCTTATTTGAACCTGCAACACAGAGGCAGCCCATTTTAGCCACGTACTTGTCTTGTGCTATAAAGGCCAAATGCAGAAGACGCGGGCCAACCCAATTGTCTAGCACTTTTGGTTAGTTTTATTATTACAAAATTATTAGATAAGATCTATTAGCTAAGCCATTAAAAATATTTGCTGGGATATATTACTATAAAAATTGCTTTTGATTTTTTTTTTTACTATTACAAAATATTACCACCGGGCATTACTTTGTCTAAGCTAAGGTATATTAGCTAAATCTATTTAAACATTCAGCTAAACTAGATAAATTTATTAGCTAAGGTACATTAGCTAAGCAACTGGTGTATTACTATATTCTACAGGCCCAGTTATATATGTGACTTTGGAGTCATCCGTTTAATATATTAGCTAAAGTTTCATTTTGAGCCATGGTGTACCAAGTTTCATAGGCGGCCAAAAATAGAAGTATGGATAATAGTTGGAATACCTGGGGATCGTCTTCGAATAATGTTGATGATGATGACGATGACTGGGAACTAATCCAATGGGCAATGGTTATTCTATTCAACCCTGTGTCTGAACGTCTAGCAGGATATATATTGCCTCTACCATGCAGAAACAGCATGCTAAGTGGCCGTGCGTATGTGCAAGAAGTAATTGATGGCCATCCTGCAAGAGTACTTGAGAACTGTAGAATAACGGTGGATTCTTTCATGCGCTTATGTGACATTCTTGTGAGTGGGGGATATGTACCACAAAATTCCCAGAAAAGAGTGCTCATAGAGGAAGCAGTGTGCATGACATTAGTCATGTTGAGTCACAATCATCGAATGCGCTGCCTCGCCGAACGATTCCAACATTCCCCGGAAACCATCTGCAAGAACATTCATGAGGTGTTGCGGGGGCTTTGTGAGTTGGGAAAAATTCTCATAAAGCCGAGAGGACAAAACGAGATTCATCCAAAGATTTACACCGATAGGCGATTTGCCCAATGGTTTACGGTAAAGTTTTGTGAGAAAAAATTTATGCTTTTTATATAAAGTATTACTTACCCTTTTGTACCAACACTCAAGCATCAATATTCAATAATCATGTCCAACTTTACTATTTACTAACTAGCATATCAAATCTACTAGAATGCTGTAGGTGCATTAGATGGTACACATATTCCAGCACATCCGCCACCTGGACAGCAAGCAGCGTATACGAATAGACATGGGCAAGCAACTCAAAATGTACTAGCCATTTGCGATTTTGATATGCGATTTTCATATATTTATGCTGGTTGGGAAGGAAGCGCCCATGATGCACGCGTCTTGGACGGAGCACTAACAGGACCTGCACATTTTTCGATGCTCCCTTCAGGTGCACGACAATATTTTGTTGTCAAATTTTTGTCCAATTATATGTTTTCATAGTATGTGAGTGTAGTATGTGAGTGTATGAGTGGGGGGGGGGGAAAGAAGTAGTAGTGTATTTTGACTTATATTTGACCTTCATTCCACTTTGTATGTAGGAAAATACTACCTTGTGGACTCGACATACAGAAATATTCCTGGATTTCTTGCACCTTATCGTGGAACACCTCGACAAAATGCTCAGGGCCGACGTGGCTCTTCCTCCCCTAAGCAACTTTTCAATACTCGTCACTCATCACTTAGAAATGTAATTGAGAGATGCTTTGGGGTGCTTAAAAGGAGATTCACTATCCTACGCGGTCCTGTACCTAATTTTTATATGAGTACACAAATAAATGTGGTGATAGCTTGTTGTACTCTACACAATTTCATACGAGATGAATTGCCAGATGATGACATATTCAATGATCATGATCAGGAGATGGATATCGAAGGAGAAGGTGGGGTCCCACCTATGCCAGAAATTCAACCCTTAAGTGCCTCACAACAAGAGGTCAATGAATGGCATGAAATGAGAGATGAAATGGCAAATGGAATGTGGAATGCATATCGGAGTGCGAGACGAAGGTGAGGGATTTGTAGTGAATGACTGCTGTGTGTTAATACTAGTGTGATGCGAATAAGGTTAATCCAAGTATTGTAGCAAAAATGGGCAAATTCCCACAGTTTGCTTGTTTTCGTCTGTATGTTTCCTAATTCCTCTATGCTTGCTTCACAACTGAGTGGCCAAGGTTGTTTGTATTGAAAGTATTGTATTCTATATTAAATTTGGTATATCGTAATTTTATGAAGAACTATTTAGCCCCTGCAAAATAAATGCACATAGTGTCAACCGAGTGGTTCAAAGAGGTTGCAATTTGAGGTGAATAATGTGATATAACCAAAAAAAGCTGTGGTTAAAAAAAATTTAATACTTGCAAGAATACAATATACTATCCAAACACGAATCCTATATTGTATTCTCATTAAATCGACTATCCATACGAGATTCAGTTATTCTTATTCGGTCAAAGTCTTTGACCGAATAACCACAAATTATTTAATAGAATACTCATAATCCATACACAACCAACATTTATCAAAATCTTTTGTCAGCCTCCAAATGTCCAACTGAATTATAGCTATGCTGGCCTCTTCCTCCATTGCATTGATTTTATCCACTACTAGTTTGCAGTCCGTTTCCAGCTCCACTTTCCTCCATCCCATTCGTTTAGCTATTACCATTGCCTCTCTTAGTGCCAGCGCTTCCTCCACTTGTGCCTCAGCACAACCTTCAGCTGGTCTCGCCCATGAGCCTATCAGTTCCCCTAAACCATTCCTTGCCACTATACCCCACCCTATTTTGTTATGTTTTGGTCTAGAGCTGCATCAGTGTTGATTTTGATCCAGTCTGTTTGAGGTTTCTCGCATCTCCTGCCCCTTTCCTTTCCTCCATCTGTCTGGTTTTCATGTTCTGATCCCCCTCCTTATGCCACATGATGCTCATTCCATTCCATCAGCGCCTTGTTAACCACCACTATAGGATCATTGCTCTTGTTGTTGAACTGTTTATCATTCCTAGATTTCCAAATCTGCCACAATATGTTTGCCGTGAGAGTTATGTGTTCCTTTCCCTTCTCCCTAGCCACAGCCCCTCTGAGTTCCTCCCACCAATGCCAAAAACTATTCCTAAACATCTCCAGTCCATCCCAAGTTAATGGAGCAACCTTTCAAATTGCTCTAGCATTGTTGCACAGAAATAACATATGCTCTAGTGTCTCAAGGTTGTCTCCACAGCACTTGCACACATGGTCCCCTTTGCCACACTTCTCTTTCACCACTATGTTAGTTGGTAGGATTCCTTGTAAGCATTTCAGATGAAGTGTTTTAGTTTATTCTGCATGTTTAGTCCCCATAGAAAACTCCAGTTCTGAGATTTACTCCTCTTGCTATTGCTTGGTTCTGGAGTTCTCCTGGAATGGCTATTTCCTTTCTTAATTTCCTTTATTAGTTTGTAACCAAACTTGACAGTGTATGCTCCTGAATTTGATTTTGCCCAATAGATCCTGTCTTTTACCTTTCCCAGACTCAATGGTATCTTCAGTATCTGTATTCTGTCCTTCTCCTTAAACTCCTGCATCAACACCTCTCTATTCTATTCTCCATCCTTAATCAGCTCACTTACCCTCTGAATCTTACTGTCTAAATTCTTCTGAGATCTTATTTTCCCATCCTCTATCCCTGGCAGCCACCTATCCTCCCAGATTTTAATTGATTCACCATCTCCCACCCTTTTCCTTAGTCCTTCTTCCATAACTCCTTTTGCACTTAGTAGGCTCTTCCAGCACCATGAGTCTATTCCTCTTAGTTGTGCTTCCCATATTGATTTCCCAGCAAAGTATCTGGCTTTCATCACTCTACTCATCAGCAAGCTTGGTTGCATCAAAATCCTCCATAGTTGTTTTCCCAATAATGCCAAATTAAAGTCCTGTAGATCCCTGAATCCCAAACCACCTTCAGATTTAATATCAGTCATTCTACTCCATTTAATCCAGTGGATTTTCCTTTCATTCTCCCTTTGTCTCCACCAGAACTTAGCCATCTTTGAACATATACTTTTACACAATGTCTTTGGGAGCCTGCAACAAGACATAACATATGCTGGGAGAGCTAGGATGACAGTCTTCAATAGAATCTCCTTCCCTGCTTGACTCAGAAGTTTTTTCTTCCAGCCTCCAAGTCTGTTTACTGTTTTCTGTCGAATGAAACCAAATAATTGTCTCTTTGATCTCCCTATGACCAGAGGGAGTTCAAGGTATTTGCTCTGGTGGACCTGTTTCATGCCTTCCAGCTCTTTAAGCACCTCTTCTTTTTGCCTTCCTTTGACATTTTTACTAAAGAAGATGGATGACTTATCCTTGTTTATCAACTAACCTGATGCTCTTTCATAGTCTTCCAACACCCTCATAAGCTGTACAGCTTTCTCAGCCTTAGGTATGCAGAAGATTAGTGAATCATCTGCAAAGAAAAGGTGAGACAGACTAGGAGCTTCCTTAGCAATCTTTATGCCAGACATGCTACCCTGTCTATTAGCTTTCCTTAATAGAGCAGAAAATCCTTCTGCACAAACCAGGAATAAGTATGGAGATAAAGGATCCCCCTGCCTTAAGTCTCTAGAAGGCTTGATAAACCCCCTTTTCTCCCCATTAACATTGATGGAATATGTGACACTGGTTATGCACTCTAAAATCTACTGGATCCATTTTGGGTAGAACCCCATTTTTTGCATGATTTTTACCAGGAACACCCATTCTACCCTATCATAAGCCTTAGACATATCTAGCTTAATAGCCATATAACCATCCTTTCCAGTTCTTTTATTATTCAGGAAGTGAATACTCTCATGCGCAACTAGGACATTGTCCAGAATCTGCCTACCAGGCACAAATGCAGACTGTGAAGGACTAATGCAACAGTCTAGTACAGTTTTAAACCTGTTGGCTAAAACTTTTGAAATGATCTTATAAATGACATTACATAGGCTTATGGGCCTAAATTCTGTGATCAGAGTTCGGGAGTCAGATTTGGGAATTAGGCTGATCAGGGTCTCATTTATGGATTTCAGAATATAGCCAGAGTGAAAAAAACTATGAACTGCATTAGTAACATCACTTTTAATAACATGCCAGAATTTTTGAAAAAAGATAGGAGACATACCATCTGGTCCAGGAAACTTGTTTGAATGCATGGAATTCACTACATAACTGATTTCTTGATCTGAAACAGGCCTTGTCAACTTTCTGTTCATTTCAACAGTTATAGACTGTGAGATATCCTCTAAAATGTTATTGAAGTCAGTTGGATTATCAGACGTGAACAGATGCTGGAAATAGCCTACAATTTCTTCCTTATCTCCTCTTCATTGCTACACCACTCCCTATTTCTCTTTTTCAGCCCATTAATCCAGTTCTGTCTTTTCCTACTCATCAAACTAGCATGAAAGAAGCTTGTGTTTTTTGTCTCTCTCCTTTAGCCATTTGATCCTTGCCGTCTGACTCCAGTAGATCTCCTCCCTCTTGTAGGTCTCCACTAGCTTCATTTTTAATCTTATGATCTTTGTTCTATCCTCCCTACCTTGACTCTCCTTTATCTCTTTAATTTCCTTTTTGATCTGTTCTATTTGATTTTTTGAGTTTAGGTTCAACTTCTTGCTCCAATTCAACAGGTTTATTCGAACTTGCTTTATCTTGCTTTGCACCCTATACAACCTTGACCCCTGTTGATCCATCCCCCATGCTTCCTTGATCACCTCCCCAACACCCTCCTGCATAATCCATCTCTTATCAAAAGTAAACCTTTTTGTCCTTGGTGTTTCCACAGGGGTCAGATCTAGAACCAAAGCACAGTGGTCAGAAGCTTCTGTTTCTATATGAGTAACTCTAGCCTTTCCAAAATTTTCACACCATTGCTTAGTTCCCATTACTCTATCAATTCTTTCCTTAATCTCCCATTCCTTGTCCCAGTTGTTGCATCAGGTCCAAGGCATTCTCTCAAAACCAATGTCAATCAGTGCAGTCCTATTAATGAAACTATTAAAAGTCTCAAAATTGCTAGCAGGCATGATTCTACCTCCCCATTTTTCCCTACTAGAAGTGATATCATTCAGGTCTCCTATTAAAGCCCAACAGTCACCCCAAATCTACGTCATTCTCTTTAACACCTTCTATTGCTGTTCCCTAACTTCATCATCTGAACTGGCATAAGCACACACACACCACCAATCTCTACTGCCTTCTTGGTCCCCTATTAATAGCTCTATAGTAAAACTTGTGAATAAGATATTTTTCACCTGTATATCCCTTTTCCAGATAACAGCCAGACCCCCTGCAATACCCACAGGATCTACTACAAACAGGTCATCAAACTTCACCCACTGCTTAACAATATTCATAAAGCTCTTCTTCTTTTTTTGTCTCTGATAAGAATATCAGAGATGGGGAGTGGACTTTTACAAGTTCCTTAAGTTGGGGAACTATCAAGGGGCTCCCCACACCTCGACAATTCCACACCAAAACTCTCATTTGGATGTGGGAGCCCAATTAAGAGAGGGCTCCATCACCTCAGAAAGCATCAACACATCCTCTGTCCTCTTAATCAACCTGGCCTTCTTCTTACACTCTAACTCTCTCAGATTCCCTGCCTAATCACCATCACAGGCATCCTTTCTCCTTTTTCCTATTTCCAGACCATTCTGCATTGTTTCAATCTCAGCCAAAGGTTTCCTCTTACTCACCTCCTGCACCAGCCTCTTCCAAGTTTTACTGACCTTATATTTCCCTACACTGGTTTTGTTCACCTTACCTACTTGATTGAGTTCCTTCACTCTCTCTTCCCCCTCCTACGCCCTTCCCAGGCTGTTGTTGTTCTCACCATCAATCCACATATTGTCCTTACTACTTCCTCCCTCCTCCACACTCACCCCTTCTATTGCCTTAAGCATCAGCAGTTCTTCTCCCCTCTCCTTTTTTGTTATTTCCTTCACCTCTTCTTGCACATGAACTTCAGAACTGCACTCTTTCCCCCTTCCACATGCTTACTGACCCCCTCACCCTCCTGCCTCTTATCACACTCTCCCCCTTGTCCCCTCTTTGCTACTGTACCCTGATTCTCACTTCCCCAGATTGGGATGCCTGTCTTCCTTCTCCCCCTAAGGAACTCCTTTGTGTAGGTGAGTAACGGATACTGTTGATTCTC